CAGAAAGCGCATGATTTATTGTTTATGGTGGGTGAAACGGTTCTCTTGAAGGTTTCGCCAATGAAGGGAATCATGAGATTTGGGAAGAATGGCAAGTTGGGCCCAAGGTTTATACGACCATTTGAGGTATTGAGACGAGTTGGGGAGGTTGCTTATGAGCTTGCTTTGCCTACCAGTCTATCAGGAGTTCATCCGGTTTTCCATGTATCTATGCTTTGGAAGTATCATGCCAACTTATCGCATGTGTTAAACTTCAGCACGGTTCAGCTAGATAAGAGCTTGGGTTATGAAGAGGAGCCAGTTGCCATTGTTGATAAACAGGTTCGCCAGTTGAGGTACAAGACGATTACTGCAGTAAAAGTCCAGTGGAGGGGTCAACCAGTCGAGGAAGCGTCTTGGGAGGCCGAGGAGCACATGCGGAGCAGATATCCACACTTATTCAGCACTCCAGGTATAATTCTAAACCCTTTCGAGGACGAACGTTTGTTTAAGAGGTGGAGAATGTAATGACCGAACCGGTCATTTTGACTTTTAGAACCCTGTTCCCCTAACTAAAACTCCCCGTATGTGTTTTTATTAATTTATGACTTGTGGGGATGGTTGGTTCGGGATTTGGAAGTGTTCGGGTTGAAATCGGAACACTTGGTTCCTTAATTTGGTTTTAAAATCTCAAGTTTGACTTCGGTCAACATTTTGCGAAAATGACCCCGAAATCGGGATTTGACTGTTCCAATAGGTTCGTATGATGATTTTTGACTTGGGCGTATGTTCGAATAGGGTTTTGGACAACTTGGGAGCATTTCAGAGCTTAATAGTGAAAATATCAACTAATTGAAGGTTTAATGTTCTTTAAATTTAGTTTGGAGTAGGTTTTGGAGTAAATAAAGTCCGTTTGGAATTCTGAGCCTGGGAATAGCTCCGTATGGTGATTTAAGACTTGCACGCAAAATTTGGTATCATTCCGAGTAGTATAAGTATATTTCGGCATATCTAGAGTAAGTTTGAAGAATTTGAAAATTCTAAGTTGAATTCTATTTGGTTTGAGATATAATTATTAGTTTTGATGTTGTTTTACACATTCCGAGGGTTCGAGCGAGTTTGTTTTATGATTTTAAACTTGCTGGTAAGTTCGGGCGAGGCCTCGGGGGCCTCGGGTGTTAACCGAACGAGGCTCGGATCAATTTTGGACATTGGAGCAGCAGTTGAAACTTCCAGCTTTTGCTACAACCGCACCTGCGCTTGGCCAGCCGCAGGTGCGTGGAAGGCACCACAGAAGCAGACTGGGCGCAGTTGCGCAGGTACAACCACAAAAGCGCATCACAGATGCGATGTACAAGCCGCAGAAGCGGACGGGGCCGGCTTAGGGGGAAGCCGCATCTGTGACACCTTTTCCGCAGATACGGAGCCGAAGAAGCGGCT